ATCGTAGAATTTTTTGAAAATTCTGCTATTACATGTTCAACGAGCATTTTAATATGTTTATTTGTATTTATAATATCTCTTATTTGAAAAACGGTTGTCAAGCAATTTGTGTCAACTTCATAAGTATGGTTTACTGGGATGAAACTCACAGGCCACAGCTACTGAGTATTAAGAACATTAAGTTAGTTTAGATGCTCCTAAAGATACTATAATAACAAGTTTCCTTTTAGTGGAACCTTCAAGGACTTATCGCATGTTTCTAAATTATTTGAAATTAAAACCGTGTTACATTCCTTTTGACCACAATTTATAAATTCTGTGTTTTTACTGTGGATAAATCGCTGTAATTAACCAATTACTGACTCAAATGAAAACCCCTGAATTAAAAATCTAAGTTAATTAGATAGCGATCACGTGACTGTGACGTCAAAGGCGACAATGGCTGATCAGCTCTTCATTAATCTTACTAAAATATACGGGATGCAACCTGAATTTTCTGCTTTGTGAACGACCAAATCACTTATTTTATCGATATAAAATTGAATATTCAACCTTATATGTTAGAATTGTCAGCAAGATAAAAATCTGAAAAAATCTGTCAACATTGTAAAAATAGCAGCGACTATAGCAAGGGAGACGCAGCGAAGACGCAACTCGTCATAACAATGCAATTTGATTTGTCATCTTTTCACATGTATTAACTTATTTGATTCACAAATTAAACATTATATAACTTCGTTATTCTTCGTTATGTATATAATATTAATTTATGCAAGTCTTCATATGTTTTGATGGCGATCTTGAAAAATAATTTCTCGATCACGAAACATTGCCGTAATTAGAGCTACAGGTTCTAAATGTTTTGAATAAAAAAACGAAAAAATCTTAAAAGCCTTCTACCTTAGAACTAATTAATGTTTCTATAATAATTGAAAAGCATATAAGGAATTAATTTTTTCAGCATTTTTCTTAATTTAGCTGCATTTGTCATTGATAACTCCATTAATAGTCTGCATATTCTCATCTCTCTATCACCGAATTGTCGCCTATGACGTCAGAGCAGTATTTCGCCGAAAGCTGACTGAAATATGCAGTATATGTATATTGCCGTATTTGAATTTCAACTCTCAATATCTCTTAAAATATGCTTTCAACAACGTTTATTGTATTCAGTATTTTAATAAATAAGGTTATAAATAATATTTTTCATAAAATTACGATTTTTGAAAGATCATGCGATAAATCCTTTAATATTGATTGCGTATAATGGGTAATACTTCTGTTGTAACGCAAAATATCTGCATTCTAAATATATAGGCAATAATACTTGTACATGCAAAAAGTATTTGTGTAACATCCCGCGTAATTACATGAAGTTTCAGTAAATTATTTTTATCAAAAAGACCGTAAAAAAGAAATTTTACGTCCGTTTCTTTAAAATACCATGATATGTACTTCCAGATCCTTTTAATAGATTTTCATGAATTAAAAAAGGGGCATTGTAATGCAACTTAAACTTTATTTATCAAAGACACTGACAGCTATGACTTATCCCATCCAGACACCTATACTACAGTATACAAGCCCTATGCTTGTATTTGTAACATTACTTAAGTATTCTTCAGAATTAAAAACACATAAAGTTTGTTATTTATTGTATGGCAGATATTGGCCACAGGGTCAGATAAATGGTTTTATGTGTCGTCCGAAACGGCAAGTAGCTTGCTTGGTTAATCACAATCATGCTACCGACATATCAACATATCAATTTATATAGTCATGGGCATCGGTCTTATAATAAACCTTTAATACACGATGTCTCTTTTGATTCATTACTACCTTACGTACATCATACATCATACATCATATTTGCACCAAACTTTACTCTGTCCCTTTGAAACTTTTAAATAGTCTTCTTGAAAAGGTCAAGGAAAGTCCATTATTTGATTCCTCGACACCAGAATATAGGCTCGGATCTGTGATTATGGATATTGCAAATCATAGGCTTTTTAAACCCCCACGTTTTACCGAGGAAAATGCAGCTAAAACAATCCGTTTTTTCCCTTAAACTTCAATATGCCAACAAAAGGAATTGACGCGGTTAATATAAGTAATATTATTAATCACAAAAGGGTCCAGTCTTGTATTCCACCATATTTCAAGTTAAAGACTACACCTTGTATTTCCTACAAATATACATCGACTATTTCTTCTAAACTTTTTAATTACAAGAAAACTTTACAGGGCCTGGATATCGAATATCTGAAACATAATCCTCCATCGTGTTCATGTTCTTCTTCACCCTATAACTATAGTCCTGCTGGACACGTTATTACTGGTGACGTACATGTAAATATAGTTAAAAATGAGGACCTTAGATCACTAATTTTAAAAGGTCCTAAATATAGGGAACCCCGATCCTTCAACTGGCGTCGAAATTTCATAAATATTATGGATTCTGTATAGGACTACGCCAGGCGATGGGCCAGACGTGAAAAAGAAGACCTTGACACTTTGTCAGAATGGATTAAATGTATCAGATGTATGTTAAAATCGCGCATAAAAAGATTGAGGGGCAATATGAGAACTATCCATCCTTCTGTATTCAATAATCCAGAAGTGAAAAAAAAATTTAGAAAGAATACATGTTCAGTACGTACTGGTCCCTGCTGACAAAGCAGGTAACAACATTGTCTTTGTTTGTAAGGCTTATTATATCAAATGTATTTTAGAGGAACTTGGATTTAATTCTACAAGTGGTAATCCAACCTATACTGATAGTTCCCTTTCTAAGGAAGAAATTCTTCAGAATCATATGTCAGTTTTGAATATTTTTAATATTCCAAACAACCAAAATGAATTTGAATTACCATATTTATATTGGATTCCGAAACTTCATAAAAATCCTTAAAAACAAAGATACATAGCAGGTTCCAGTAAATGTTCAACCAAGCCTCTTTCTTTACTCCTCACTAAGATATTAACAGTAGTGAAGGAGAAACTTCAAGAGTATAGTGCAACAATATATTCGAGAAGTGGTGTAAATCAGATGTGGATACTTAAAAATTCCAAGGAACTTTTGGAAAATTTGAAATCACAAGATTTTACCAAAATCAAAAGCTTTAAAACTTACGACTTTTCAACCTTATACACAACCATTCCCCACGATAAATTAAAGTCCAGGCTTTTTGATATCATCGACAGCTGCTTTTTCAATAAAAATGAAACTCGTAAATTTACTTACCTTGTCATTGGTCATTTGCAAAATTATTTTGTTAAAAAACATTCTGATTGTACACACAAGTACTCTGAAGTTGACATTAAAAAGATGCTTGAGTTTCTGATTGACAAATATATCTATGTGGTTTTTGGAGATCATGTCTTCCAACAATCTAATGGAATTTCCATGGGTACCAATTGCGCCCCGTTATTAGCAGACCTTTTTTTTGTGTTCATATGAAGCAGAATTTTGTCCAAAATCTTGTACGTGAAAAGAAGAAAACACTCGTTGTGGCCTTCAACTCGACATTTATATATATCGACGACGTATTGTCAATTAACAATGGCTATTTCCATTCTTATGTCGATACGATATATCCTTGTGAGCTTGAGATAAAAGATACCACAGAGTCTGACACATCTGTTTCATATTTGGATATTTTACTCGAAAAAGACGTTAATGGTAATCTAACAACCAAGCTTTATGATAAACGTGTGACTTTAACTTTTCAATCGTCAACTTCCCTTACTTATGCAGCAATATACCTTCATCACCTGCATACGAGGTATATATCTCTCAGTTGATTCGATACGCAAGAACATGCTCTGCGTATGTACAATTCCTAAAACGAGGTAAATTATTGACAAACAAGTTGATGAAACAAGAATATCAGCTGTCTCGTTTAAAGTCATCATTTCGTAAGTTCTATGGTCGATACAATGACCTTGTCAGCAAATACAATTTATCATTGAGTCAAATGCTGACTGACGTTTTTCATACAAATTGTTAGGCCATTTTTTACACACTGAATTGTCGACGGATTTTTCCGTTATTTCCAGATCATCATGACAAGGAGCACACGGCGGGTGTGACCGGTCGGCAGGGGATGCTCACTCCTCCATGGCACCTGATCCCACCTCTGATGTTTGGAGGTCCGTGTTTGCTCTGCTCCTTTTTTGTATTGTTTGATGGACTTTTGAGCCTGAATACTGTTCGTTATCTACATATATTTCATATACAACTCTTTGCTTTAAATTGTCTATATGGAAACATTATTAAATTAATAACATCAACGTATCAACAGTCAACGACATAATTCCACAACAAACCTGAAAGTGACGATATGGCTTCAAACAACTTCGCGTTGACCACTAAAATTACCATTGTGACGAGATGTAGGTCTAAGGATTCCTGTGTCTGTAGACAGCTCATGGTATCTGAAAGTATAAAACTTAAACGGCAGACACACTGAACAAGTCAAACGAAGGAATTATAGGGGGTTGGGGTGGGAGGGTATTTTAAAATTTTTAGCTCTGAATTAATTTCCAAACCGTTTGTTGGTTACAGGCGATGATTGAAAAGGAAGTGCGGATGCTGTAATTTCAGAGTGATACACGAAATGCTTATAAATTCCCGGTCCAAATTTCCGGACCGCGCAACAGGCCGATACACAAAATTATCAGCTAAATCAACCAAAATTTAGATTTACACAATACATAAAATCCGATCAATATTAGCTTTATACAATTTAATGAATAGAATACTTTGATAATGGTACATACATGTATTTATAGACAAGCTAAATTAAATATGTGCATATACACACACACACACACCCTCACACACACACACACCCTCTCACACACACACACACACATATATATATATATATATGCATATATATCACTTGAAACACTCTTCTTTCCCACTTGAAAGTGAGTTGTATATAGAAACCTTAAGCTTTCGACTATATTTTTTAATATGATAAATGTGACAATAATGGTAAGCAGGTACTTTTTATTTCCTGATAAAAGAAAATACCCAACGCAGAAGACATACAACGGTCCTAAATGTAATACTGTTCATTCATTATGAGCAATTACAATCAGTAATTACCTACACTTCCCTTTATTCAAACTTATTAACGCATAAAACTTTTCAGTTTATTCCAAAACAATTTCTTTCCGTTTTCGTTTACAGTCCATTCCGCATTTTCTACAGATTTTAACAAAGTTTTCAGTGCTACTGTAAAATGTTTAGAGCTTATTTTCCCCAACAAAATAAGAAAAACTCTGTCCCCATTTCCATCTGCTAACTTATGATTGGCAATGATGGTTTCGTAATTGCACCACTGATCCTCCATGAAGTTGTTAGAAAGTACCAAAATGAATTTCCTACTGGCTTCAATACTTTCAAGTATGTTATCAACGTGAGCACAGCTCGGTAAAAAGTTTCTCTCATGGAGACAAAGTTTGTAGTTTTCTTTTTTCTCCATGACATCGACAAGTTCAGACATAATCCATTTCCGGTCACGCGTGTTGTATGCAACAAATCCGTCGTATTCCTTTAACTCCCTTTCAATAAGTGCTTGATATTTACTTCTTCTGTTTGTCCATTTGTGAAGATAATACTTAACATCCCACCTTAACTTCCAGACAAGAATCAAAATAAAAACAAATATAAACATAAAAGAACACACTGTTAACATTGTCACAAGCAATGTGCTAAACGGATGACAGCTTGTCTTTAGACTTTCAATGTGAACATCAAGTCGAGTTCCCTTCCACTGTTTTGGGGAATCGCATTGATAATCGCTGTTTTTCAATATTATCCCTTTTCCGTATGCCCAATTGATAAACCATTCAAGATCACAATCACAAGCAAAGGGATTATGCGATATATCTATGGAGAGGTTGGGTTGTTTCCATATTACATCTGTGAATGAGTCTTCTCGAACTGTTGTAAGTTGGTTTTTTCTAAAGCTTATCTTTTCAAGTCGTGAGTTGTTTTGAAAATCATCTTTGTGTACCTGCCGAATCCAATTTTCTTCTAAGTTTAGACTTATAAGACTGGGAAATATGGAGATATCAGGAACAGTATACAGCATTGTTTGGCGCAAAATAAGCTCCTGGAGATGTGTCAGGGGAGACAGCATGTCGCGGAAGTCATCACCGGAAAATACGGAGAAATCAAAGGTTGACATTTCTAAATTTGTCAGCTGTTTACATTTCTTAAAGAGAGTTTTGTGGTTAAAGGTTTTCTTGGACACTCTTATGTAGCTTCCGAAAAATAGCTTCTTTAATGATGTTGAATTTAGAGCATCGTTTTCTATTATCATATCGTAAGTTAACATGTTTCCCATGCGCAGTTTGACTAATTTACTAAGAGTCGAAAATGAATTTCTTTTAATTATGCTGATTGCGTTAAATGATATATTTAGATAGTCTAAGTTTGGAAAACAATGTCCCTGTATGTGGAATTGTGATGAATCAGAAAGGTGGTTGATAGCAAGATATAATTTCTTCAGTTCCGGAACAAGTGATTTATTAGTATAATAATCACACATTCTTGGTAAAATGGAAAGTTCGTTCCAAGTCAGGTTTAACAGTTTAAGTTTCGAGAAACCGGACATATTCATCCATTGAATTTCGTTCTGACTTAGATCCAATATGTGCAAGCTTGATAGATTTTGAAAGGAACTTCCTGCCACTTTTACCAGATTCCATTTCCGCATCGTTAAACTTGTAACATTTGTATTCTGAAGACTCGAGAGAAGGTTTTCCGGTAAGTTTCGTGAAGTATTATAGATATTTGAAATGTTGAGATGTTTTATTTTTGAGCCATTCAAACCTTTCAAACCTTCCATAACTGCGCTTACCGTTAAATTATTGGAATTCAGATCTATTGAATGTACGTTTGGGATAACAGTAAATGCTTTACGCGATATAACTTCAATGTTACATCTACTTATAAGAAGTTTTTCAATCGTTGACTCCGAAATCGATTCAAAAAATGTATCGGTTAAATTGACGAAGTTGTTTCCTGACAGGTCCAAGACTGTAATATTCATTGGTAAGTTGAGGAATGATATGTTCTTAAAGCCTCTATTCGAACAGTCTACTTTATCCTTGGTAATGAGGCAGTCCGTGTGAAAAAACGGATTCCACAGTAAGTTCCCTGGCAGTTGTGTTAGCATCCATAACAGAGTAACCTTCCTGATATTTGAACAATTAAACATATTTTAGATAAGCCTGAAAACAAGTAGAAAGAAAAATTAGGCATGTTGTTTTCAAACCTACTTTTATTACTTTTTGTTAATATTGACTTGTTATAAAAGCTGGTCTTTTGAAGATATTTTTATTGTGATTTATTTGTTTAATTGTTATTAATTACTTATACATAATGTACTTGATAAGGTGCAATTTATTTTCACAAGGGTCTAAGATAATTATAAAACTAATATTTTTCCACAATCATATTTTACAATCAAATCGGGCTATATTAAGATAAATCTGCTATAAATGAATTTGTTATTTAAAAAAAGTTCCTTTTTCCTTGTGACAAGTTGTTACTTTAATCAAAGGTTACAAAACAGACTTGATGTCTGATTCTCTTGTAGATCTGCTGTGTGATCTCTATTGATCGATTTTTTTTCTTCAAATTTTAAACATCTCCATGTATCAAATACTGACAACTTAAAATTACTTATTAGTAATTTTCCTTTTAAAATATGAACTTAGGATTTTATTGTTTTATGAACACATATATACATCAAATGGAATTTTGATTTTCGGTTATGTTGAGTAGTCTCTTTCGAAAAGAGAAAGACGCTTTAATTGCTTTTAAATTCAATATGCCCTCTGCCCTATTTTTGTTATGTAAAAGTAATCCTATAGACCTAAAAGATATAAAGTTTCCTTACATGAAAAAGAGCATAATTGAATTATTTTGAATTATTTCCTTGAGAAATAAAGGAGGAGCTTGAAAAAATTCAAGTACCGCCAAAGAAAAATATATATTAAAAACTGACTTACAGATTATTCCCTCCTAAAAATGGAGATTACTCTGTTATATCCAACTAGAACTGTCGATTAACGTGGATAAAACATCTATTCCCTTAGGCCTGTATTATTCTAGAAATAGTTATTTAAATATGCATATACCCCCATGATTGCTAGAGTTCTTAACAAATACTACCTTTTATTTAAATAAAAAATGTCCTGTTTCCAAAGTACGTGATTTTTCTCTATTTTTACTCAACAACATTGCTATACCTGGAAGTTTGAAAGGGTATTAGATCTGTTCCTTCCTCAAACAACTCTTATACGGAGGTTTTTAATTGCTTTCTATGTAAACTATTGGCAACGTCCTTTTGATCTCATAAAAATAAGTAGTGAATATTCAACATCACATGAATTTCTTAAAAAGCAAAATTTTTCATGAAACTTAACTTTTACAGAGGAATTTATCATAATTAGATTTTCATTCCAAGTTACATGAATTATGTCATATTATTGCTATACGTATTTTAATGACCTAAGCGTTTTTCTATTTTATCCATAGTTCTCTCAACTAACACATTCTTTTTCTCATACAATGAACATAAGGCTTTATTGTTTGTTCTTCTACGAGCAAATGTAAGAGGATTCAGAAGGATATATATATATATATATATATATATATATATATATATATATATATATATATATATATATATATATATATATATATATATATATATATATATATATATATATATATATATATATATATATATATATATATATATATATATATATATATATATATATATATATATATATATAAAATTAAAAAAATTCTCAATAAAATCTGGGAACACTATATATATATATATATATATATATATATATATATATATATATATATATATATATATATATATATATATATATAGTGTTCCCAGAAATTATTGAGAATTTTTTAATGATTCATATATCTATATTTACATTTGCAAATGTTTTCCCTGATATAACACTTTTTGAACAAGGCGTTTTTACATCTGTGTAAAACACCTTCGTCATGTGACCATAAATTTATTGTTCAGTCACAAACGATCTACGTAATTTCATAGTGACGTTATAAGTGATCGACGTGTTCATCACATTCAAGTTATACCGTTGAGTTTTGAAGAAAATAAATCATTTATGGGTTTAAACATTTAGTACTTTACTATTTGTAATAAATCAGTCACAAATATAAATATAAGTAATAAGGTATCATTTTAAAAGTTTTATCGGGATTTAAATACAGGTTGGCATGTAATCAAATCTACCATAAAGCCCTTCGGACTTTATGGGATTTGATCACATGACCAACCTGTATTTACATCCCGAATAAAACTTTTAAAATGATACCTTATTTCTTAAATAACGTTGGATTAATAAAATGCAATTTTATACAATTATGAACTCTTTCGGTGGTGAATATGGTTTGTTATTCACCAGAAAAATATCAATATTGACCGAGGCGAAATTGTTTTATCGTATAGTCTGGATTTGAGTTAATAAGACATTGAAGACCATATGACGACACCATTTTCAATTAAGAACGTCTGTCGTAGAAAAATTAAAATTCCAAAAAATTACAAGTTGTAACTCCCGTGTTTTCCTTTCGCTATGTTTAAGACATCAAAATATTTAGAAGGGAGAACTGCGCTTTACCGGTACGTACAAATTACATGGAAATAGCACGTGCTCTTCTCTCTATAAGAGAGTCACTCGTCAGCGTGACGATTTCGCTAAAAAGGCAATAAAATGCAAAAAAAAAAAAAAAAAAAAAAAAACAAAAACAAAAAAAAAACAAAAAAAAAAAAACGTTTTTTTTAATTCCTCGTCATTTTTTATGTTAATAAAATTCGTTTAATTAACGAAGTTATTAATTAAAACTGAGAGCACTTTCAAAACAAACCATTCGCTTTCATTCCGTCAGTTACATTCCAAAGTCATGACGTTGTTAAGCACGTGACTTATTTCAATGCTGTGATTGGTCAAGGTAAACGACGTAAAATAGAGTTTGACAGTTGCGCTAAAATTTAATGTAAACAGTGAATCAGCTGATTGTAGTGCCATTTCTTTTGTTTACGATGATTTGTATGAGATATGTCATGAACGGAGATTTTTAATCGATTGGCTGCAAAAGAACTAAGTGCAGTAATGCCGCTTTTGTGTCCTCTGTTTTTCTCAAAATTTGAACTGAATCATATACGCTATTTTTGTACATCACTGAATAAAAGTGAATCCAGTCTGATTATTTCTGGGCTTTTTCCATTTTTTATGTGTCGTTATATAACGGTATACAGTCTCAGAAGTAGCAATGTTTTGGGAAATTTTCATAATTCAGTGCAATTCTCGGTAATTTTTCATTAAATTAAATATGAGCGGATGCTTGCTCAGGATTCATACTTGGAAGGAAAAGAGATATTTTACATAAGAACTGACACAGTTAAAAGATCTTTACTGAGCAAGACTGCGCTCACTGTTTTTATCAAGAAAAATCTTTGATTTAATGGTGGGATGCGCGGTGCTTGTTCACGCGAGGAAATTCGGTCGTGATTGACAATTTTTGTTTATTAATGTACTTTACCTATTTTAGACTCTAGTTAAAGGAAATTAATACTTTTCTTGTAATAATTAAATATACGATCCAAAATCATTGTCGGCTGCTGCATCTAGAGTTAAACTTGGTTGAATTAACAAAAATTAATCGTATATCGTCTGATTTCTTTGAGTCTGAAACCTGCTTTCCGTGAAATACAAGATATATCCTTGACGATACAGAAATTCTGAAAATTGTAAGCTTCAGCATGCCATAATTACTGCAATATTAGGTAAGTGATCAAATGGTGAAAATTGAGATGTATATAAACAGACAAATTATTATGGCAAGTCTGCACTTTGTTACATAGTTTGCATAGGTAAAAGAGCACCTATATCGTATTTTTTTTCTCAGAATAGATAAGACCATTTAATATCACTTCGCGCGCGCGCGTGTGTGTGTGTGTGAGGGTTTGTGCGTGAAAGGTGTCAAACGGGTACAATTGTTTGTTTACACACCTTCCAACCGGGGACAACCTCCCAACCGGGGACGTCCCCGGTTGTCTTTGATTAAAAATAGCGCCAAATTCGAAATCAGGGATGTCTAATTACCCCCAAAAGCCGAAAAGATCCGTTTTTCAACATGTTGAAAAAATGTCCCCGGTTAGTTAGGATTAAAACATGTGTGTGAGTGTGAACTTTTCACAATTACCGAAGATTGTATTTGAGGGTTACACACGGGTCCCCGTTTTGTATAGTGAAAAACAAGTCACGTGACTTTTCTGAAACAAACATTACAT